AGGTATGGAGAGATTCCATAAGGTCATCTCATCTTGATAATGGTGGACTCCCTGCACCCACAACATTGCCATCCATTATCCTATTGGCTCTCTCAACTTGTCATTCATTATATTAGTACAACTGGATTGTGTATGTGTTTTTTTTAAGGATAATAAAGGGGTAAATTCAATCCTTATGGTTCCACAAAACCAGTCACAATTATTTGAGGAAGATAAACTGAACCATATTTTAAGTCCTATAGGGAGCAAATAAATATAGTGTGATCCATTTGTTGATACCTATAGAGATTTCATTTTATGGATGATTTTTTTAATTGATTTTTACTTTTGTTTTTTTTGTCGTCTAAGCTACGCCGCCTCCCGGTATGTATCTAGTAGGAGATCGGAGAAATATTGTTCTGTAAGTTGACATCTTTGATATACAATTAAGCTAGAAATTCTATAAATTATAAGGTACAACCAGTTATACCTTCTTAATTTGTACGTTTCTTAAATTTTAATTACTGAATCTCTTTTATTTGCGAAGACGTGATTGTGATGAAGGAAGCACGACGATGGCAAACCCTAGCTGCATCGATCAAAGAACAAAGGGAGCACAGCGATAGTGAACCCTAGTTGGGATTCGATCAGGAAATGACGCGTTTAGGGATGCATGGGCGAAACCCTATTGCGAATTGGAGATGGTGATGACTGATGACGTACGGTAGACTCTATTGACAATGACGATGGACGTTGTTATGTTTGAAAACTAAAGCTTGGAATGAACACTACGTACGCTGAGCAGGCTTGGAATGAACATTACGTTGTTTCAAAATGACGAAAAGAATAGATGATCAAGCTTGGAATAACCACATGTCGAGACTGTGCGTGCCCTCACCCCAACACCGCATTAGTATGATATTGTCCGCTCTGGGCCAAGTCCTCCGCAAGTTGATCATCTATTATCCTACGCAAGTTGATCATCAGCAACGAAGAGAAGCTTGGAACATAAATATTGAAATGTAGGTGGTGGAAGCTAAGCACTTTCGTGTGAATGACGGACAGAAAGATAGAGGCAAATCTTCATTGCATGATTAGCAACTTGAGAGTGCATTGTTGAGATTTTTTTCCTAGCAAAAGATGATACAATTTGATAATAATGTATCTTATTGAATGGTGAGATTACATCAGTAAATATAGAGGATACATCGAGAATCCTAATCAAAGTAGAACTAGGGAATATGCTAACGATATACTCCCTCCGTCCCGCTATATTCGTCCACTTTTGACTTTTGGAACTATTCATCTAAGCACTTTGACTCATCAAATTCTCTCAATGTCTAAGCCTAAATATAGTCATGCGTGATCTTGTTTGATTTGTCTTAACATATAGATTATTAATATATAATTTCTATAATTTTTTAATATACAAATTACAAGATAAAATGGATTAAAGAAGTGTATTAGATGGTGTGCAAAAATGAAAGTGGACAAATATAATGGGACGGAGGGAGTAATAAGAAAAGTAAATGATAATGTTCTATTTCTAATTATCATTATCAATCATGATGTTTTCCCGCAAGATGATCATCAGTAAGGAGCAACAGTTTGGAGTACAAGTACCGAAATAGAGCTAGCGGAGGCAGTTTTGTTATGATAGTGTTAAATATTATTTCATCCGTTCCAATTTGAATTATTGCCAATTTGTTCTCTCATTTTCCCCACAAAAATGAGAGGAATTATTTTTCCTCCTCTTAATATATTTTGTCCTCATATTTTCTATTCTTTTCGTCTATAATCAACAAAAAATTCATCTCATTTTCTTTTTTCCTCAGAATGGATGGTTCACATTAATTCTCTCATTTTTTTTATTTTTTGGATCTTAACTTTCGTGAAAAAATAAATGAAAAAACTATTTTAAAACTTAACCATGAATGTTGATTTATGGGTGACATCTTGGTACAGATATACGGAGTATGGAGATGGTAGGCTAGTGGGAGTAGTAGTGGATCAGTGAACATTCACTTTCTTCAATCTTTATTTATTTATTTATTCCCCACACACCAGTACAATAATAATGCACTTCTCCCTATTTCCTAGCTTCCTCTTTAGCCTTTACTAGTCGGTGGCAACGTTTTTAACGTTTGTTGTAGTAGTAACTATTAAGCCCCGTTTGGCATCAGCGTTAGCGGTTAGTGTTAGCATTTTTAAAATATTGTTTGACGTTAGCATTTAGTGTTTGCGTTTTTAGAATTAATCAAAATTAACTTAAGCCCCATTTGGCATCAGCGTTAGGTGTTAGCATTAGCATTTTAAAAATATTGTTTGACGTTAGCATTTAGCGTTTGCGTTTTCAGAATTAATCAATATTATTAAAATTTTATCCAAAATATTAATGTTAATCGAAAATGGTATTCCCAAAAGAGACTTTAGACTCTCTGCACCTTTTGACGCTGCTTGTCTCACATGCACGCCTAGAGAGCATGTCACACCAGTCCTTTTTAATAAATATTTTTAGGGATATGCTAGGGGTACACTAAACCACTCCCTCTTTACCATTCATTTTATTTTGTTTTTATTTTTTACTTTCTTTTGAATTTTTCTTGCTTTTTTTGTGTGGTGATGAAGGGGGTGGGATGTTTGGGGTACACAAAAGTGTACCCCTAGCATTTTCCTATTTTTTACCCTCAACACCATCATATCTATCATTTCCACATACAACTTCATATATTCCACAATCACGAACATTGAAAAAATAAATTACAGATCCGACTAATCAGGTGCTTCTTTACCATGAAACGTAGGATAAGCGCAAGAGCCAGAGGAAATTGAAACATTTTGAGCCGTCGCTTTGTTTGGGCCATAACTTTGGCTACAGTTGTCCAATTTCAACAAAATACCCCAAAGCTCTTAGTGAGACGCACAGGGGCTCGATCGGTTTAAGACCCATCAGTATCCATCTTCAACCCCAAATTCTACTGTTTAGCCAATTAAAGTTATACTTTTGTTATTTAAGGCCTTTATTCATTTTAATTTTTCTTACCTAATTTACAGTTTCAGCTATAAAAGTCTGGTTTGTGGCAGCTTTACGGAGACTTGATTTTTTTCTTCATATGAATAAACCCTAGAGAAAACTTCTCCCCTAGCATTTTCCCTTTCGTTTTTGTTGTTCTGTTCTTTTATCACACACTTTGATTCAATTCGTTGTCAAGATGCAACACAATTTGCACAAGACAGGCAAAGGCAACCAATGCAACACCTCTTGCGGACAACTTCCACGTTCATACGGGCATGATACATGTGCCTGCGTTGGAGCTCGTCTTATATAACAGTTTCAGCTATAAAAGTCTGGCTTGTGGCAACTTTATGGAGACTTGATTATTTTCTTCATACGAATAAACCCTAGAGAAGAGTTCTCCCCTAGCATTTTCCCTTTTGTTTTCGTTCTTTTATCACACATTTTGATTCAATTCGACATCAAGATGCAACACAACCTACACAAGACAGGCAAAGGCAATGCCTCTAGTGGACAGCTTTCACGTTCGTACGGGCATGATACATGTGCCTGCGTTGGAGCTCGTCTTATATATTACTTCCTCCGTCCCAAAAAATATGAGAGATTTTCATTTTTAAGAAATTTAAGGAGAGTGTAATTTTGGTATTGAATCAAAGTGATTTAACAAAATTGAATCAAAGTGTGTGATAAAAGAAAATCTGGCATTTCATTTTGATTTTTATTGATGTATTTAATTTGCATCATTAAAATATTATTCAAGAAGTGATGTTAGGCTATATGGTGTGGATCACACCATCACGCATTCAAGCCATCCTTTCCTGCTAAGTACTAATTCAATGCAATGTCAGCTTTTCTCTTTCCTATCACATAGCATCCCCTTTTTGGGTGTGGATCGTGCCCATCCTCTTTTTTTTTATATCCAGTTTTTACAACCATTTCAATTAAAATTATTTAAAAGTAAAATATTCCCTCCATCACAAATTAATTCCCATTATTTTCTTTTTGGAGTGTCCCAAATTAATTCTCCACTTTCCTTTTTGGAAGGCTACTTGGGGCTCACTTTTTTTCTCTCATCTGCAACATTTTCAACCACACGCTTTCCCTTTTCTTAACTCCGTGCAAATTCAAATTGTGAGAATTAATTTGGAACAGAGAGAATATAACATAAAATTCTCATTATTATTAAATTTGATATTACAATTACAAAAATTCTCATAAAATAAATATTTCATTTAATAACCAAAAAGATCTAAAATTAATGACAAAAAATGTAAAAAAGCAAAATTGAAAAGCAAAAAAAAAAAAAGACTAAGGAAAGAAAATGAAGCAGAGATGGCAATCATCATCAACGGTCACGAATCAAGGGTGGTGTTCCGTGTTTCCCGCTTTCACGTGGCTTAGATGGCACCCATGGAGGTCATCAAGGCTCATCCCCTCCCACACATCGCACAAACTTAAACTACAAACACTAGATAGCTTATTTCTGAATCTGATTCTTCCGTTTTCATTTTTTATTTTTCGGTTTTTGACCAAATTATTTACAAAAGTATCACTCACCACTTATGAATAACTCCAAATGAGTTATCTCTCATTTAAGTCAATTTACTTCTACGAAAGAATATATATTTAACTCACAAACAGCTTATAAGTTGAAAATTATTTGTCAATAATAAGCCAATAAGCATCAGTACATTGAAACACCTCTGTGGATAAATAATGATGGATGGGCTTGTGGCGCTCCAATCACCACCGTCAATGCAAAACAACGCCGCTGAAAAGAATGCAACACGGTTTCGCTCTGTCAATGTGTCAGCGAGTCCTTTACTTACGTAGGCATTAGAAACTCGTCCATGATGCTTTGGCGACACTTTAAAATGGGATGGAAGGAGTAATACATTCTCATTGAAAAAAGGTCGGATACTCTTTTAGTTTAAATTTGTTACTCTATTGGTTTGCAACTCTGTTAGTTCAGACTTTTAAGAAAATCTACTATGTATCATTTAAAATAAATCCACAAATATCCCTACATAATACAATACACCCCTATTTCAATTCCTCTAAAAACCCTTGTTAGAGATGTTATCAACAGACCAGCTTGTCTTTCAAACTGCATATTATACAGTTCTTCTCCACTAGATAACCAAAACCAGTTTCAGAGAAACACGGTGATAAACAGAATGAAAACATTACTACACATACCGCAAACGCCATGGTGGCCTGATGCAATTAAAACTGCAGTCACCAGATATATTCATTACTTCTTTCTGTCTTGTGAAGTTGAAAGGAGATCACGAAACAGCGGGCTTTCGGTTATGAATTAAGCTAGACATCATATACAGGAAGACGATCTTCAATGTAAACACGGCATATGGGGCACTTTTTGCACTTCTCAGAACACATACTGCCCATAAATAAAAAGTGACTATCAGTATAAACACCACGGTTCTTTTGACACCCCTTTTCGGTGTCATAATATAACTCTGAGTGGTTCCTACCCTCTCTAACCCCTAGCTGGATCCCCAATATGCTTCAGTAGATCCAGGGGGCTAGGGTAGGAACCACTTCGGGGTCCAACTTAGCACCAAAGGACCCTCAAATGGCTGGTACTATAATATGACTCCCATGCCAACTGTCAAAAGAAATTTTCTGCAGTATAACACTTCTTCAAAAAAAACACTATTGGTATGAAAATCGTAGGAACCAGAGAGAATTTGGAGCTCTGCCCGGGGCAATGCCAGATTTACTCCGGTTAGAACTTAAACTGAAAAGAGACACCAGGTTAGTATACTATTACCTGCAAAGTATGTGATGCCTACAAGGAAGAAGAACCACGTTTATCTGCTTCTCGAAACAAATTTTACAGAGTACCTTTTCCTGAATAGAGTAGCAATGGGAATGAGGTATTTCAGATAAAATATTACTGCATATTATACCAGTAGAATAGCATTTAAACTTTGAAAAATATTTTCATTTCATCTTCCACTCTAATAAATGTTAAATGTTGAGAGAGGCAGCCTTTACACCGGTGGCACCCTTACTCGGACCTTCAGTCGGCAGAGATGCTTTGTACACCAAGCTCAATTACATTCAAACAAATGCAAAAATGTACATTTTGGTTTGGGAAAATGCTAAAGTATCCCTAACTCTCACCCCACCTTTCACCTCAACCTTCTCAAAGACATTGAACAGTAAGCATTGCTGTGGGTGTCTGTGAGAAGATGGGTGAAAGCTGGGGTGCCACTAGCATGGTCCTTTTGATTTTACAGGTATCATTTTTGTAGTGGCAAGGGGAAATAATAATTAGCAACTATCTGAGTCATTATTAGTTGGAGGCTTTTTTTATTGAGAGTAAGATGTGTAATAACCGATAATAATATTTGATCACTAAGATATTTGTGACTTGAACAGGCTTGGACTTTTAAAATCTGGACTTTTGGCATGCACTTATCAATTAATGATATGCTTAATATATACTACGTATTTTAAAAAAATCGGGGCCCTAAATAAATGGGGGGCTCTACTCATGCCTAGTTTGCCTATGCCTAGAGACGACTCTGTCTACACAAGTGAAGAAAACTATAAGAGGATAACAGTTCTGGAATTCTATCCCATTATTCCTTCATAAAAAGGTTCGACAGGAAAACATCAACAGTAGTTCCGATCAACAGAATACTCCGTAATGCTTAATAATTTTATACAATCAAATTGATGATGGCCATTCAAATGCATGTAAAAACATGTTTAAGTCGTAAAACAATTTGATGCTATTGTTAAAGACACCTCCCTTTTCTTTTTGTCTCACAAGGCATTTCCTGGTAGCACTGTTTCTCTGATCATTTTTCAAATAGGCAAGAACGTATAAGTACTCCCTCCATCCCAAAGCTATCGTCCTAGTTTGCCTTTTGTGGTAAATTTGACAACAAATTAAACATAGTTTTATTTAAATAAATGTTATAAAAAATTAATATATCAAAACTATTTCTTAAAATAAATCTAATTATACTAAATTTACATTTTAACTAAATATATTTTTTTCACAATTTCTAGTCAAAGTAACCCCAACAGCCAAACTAGAACGATCGTTTTAGGACTAGTATGACTTTTTCAGGTCATTAATTTCTTTTGCCCATTACTCCGGAGTATATATTGGCAGGTATCCCTTGGTATCGTTTCATGAGGCTTTCCACTTCAAGAAAAAAAAGGAACTACCCACAATCAAATGAAGACAATGTTGTTGTTCTGAGGCAAGATAAACTTTCAAATCTCTTGTTCTAGGAATGACTCAATGATTTTTCAAGATAAAAGGGTCTCCTAAACTCATTTATATATCTTACATTCTGAAGCTTTTCAAGCTCCTCCTGATTTAACTCTGATTCATCAGCTTGCTCACAAAGTGCAGCTTGCAGTCTCCATATCTATGATGACACAAGTCAGTTATGGTTAAAATGCTTGTTTAGCAGCTCTTAATTAGCAAACCGTATGAAAAAGAAGGAAAGAAAAATGGCAAAGATTGTGATATTGAAGGATGTAGAGAGATTTTGCCTCCTCTACAAGCTCTGCTTTGGGCATCTTCTTTACAGCATCAGGCGAAAAAGTATTATACCTATAAAATAAACTGATAGAGATTAGATGAGATTTCAATAAACAATAGCATGTTGGAGTTAAAGAATATTAACTACTATTGAAGTCAATGTTAAAACATACTGTTGTTATGCAAACTATATATAATGGGTTTTAGAGAGAGAAAGTTCCAGTTTTATCTTTGGCACTTCAAAACTAGGATAACAAGAGCAATAAAGAGGTCTCTATCCTTATCCATTTCTCTTAGATTTATAGTCCCCACACCTATAAGAAAAGCAAATCACAAAAGCTAGAACCCTGGGAAAGTTTTGTGCTCAAGCAGCTCAACAACTTCAACTCTGAAGTATCTAAAATCCCATAACTCTGATTCTGAGCAATGATTCATTTCTAAATCTTGTTGGTATGCATTGGAGGTAGACAAGCTGTAAAATCCAAGAAGATTTTCCTTCCATCACAAAATATAATACTCCTATCTAATCGCTGAGATTCTCTTAAATATCTTTTCAATAGCACAATAATTTTACAAGACCTCCCAGATTGCTATCCTAATTCCCTTCCCCTTTATATGCCGTCGTGTATGGGCTAAAGGATTCATGAGATACACAAACGATGCGTCAATTTTAGACAAGTGATGTAGTGCAGGCAATCTCACCTAATGTCAGAATTGTGGAAATACAGAGAGATAAACAAATAAAGTAACTCTAGGTTTAGAAACCCTAGGGTCTATCCTGCTAGGATCATTAGGACATATCAATAAGCAGTTTGCTTATTCTTAATAAACAGCAATTAACTTATTGAACTAGTCTCAAAAACCGTGACAAAATCAAAACTGTTTATGGTATTTCTGAAAGTCTAGACAATTATTTGTCGAAGATAAACCATAATAGGTAACATAAATTAAAGGCATCAAAAGAATGAAAAGGGTAGAAAAAAAAGAAGACTATAACTGACCGAGGTGTCTGGGCATGATAAAGACGCGCTTGCTCCTCACGACTTCCTTCATCTATTGACCACCAACCCAATAACCTGTTATGAGTGAGATCCATGTGCATTTTAGAGAAAGAATATAAATTTGTATCACGAATGTCACAATAAATTGCACATTTAACTTCTACATGAATTACCTTGATCCACGCTGCATGAACCCTAAAGAACCACGAATCCTTGCAGATACCCTAAAATAGTTTACGTTTATGTCACCAGCTTCAGTATCTAGTAGAAGGATTGCTTTCTCCAGGAATCTATAGATAGCAAACAAAATCCCTGCCCCTTGGACAAGGAAAACAGGAGCAAACAGAACTGAAATTGGGATATATCCGGCACTAGATGGAGTTTCCTGAAATAACAATGTACTGGTTACAAGTTTGACAAATCAATAATGAAAGCGAATCATGATTATGTGTCATTGGATTTACCGCTAGTCGCATAAAAAGAACTATTTCAAAAACAACAAGGAGAACTTTCATAATATGCCCACCAATTTCCTGCAAACTGCAAATGCTGCTCTCTTCAAAATCTTCATCTAATGATAACAGCAACCCACTATCCCGGATAGAATATCTGACACTTGTTGAAGATGAACCGGCCCAACTGGCTGATAGAATATGAGAATGTCTATGAATGGCAGGATTATACCATTTTGTGCAGATAAGAAATGCAAAACATTGAGCCACCCTGTTAAGCAATGAACTTTTCAGCAAGCTGATAGGAGATAATTATGAACCATCAACCACCTAGGGCAGTAAGAAACTAAGAAAATGGCTTTTATACCCATAATTAATAAATAAGTCCCACCAGCCAAGAGCAACTACATCACCTGCAAGTATTATTAGTAAATATTAGTACATGTAAATAACTAAAATAAATGAGCAGTAGTGAAGATAATGCATGTTAAGGATCTCTGTAACATATGTTAAGAAACTTTGTAACATGACCAGGATGCCCTTATTTAATTCATGTTCTAAAGGCCTTTTTATTCCCAAAACACATACTCCTTACAAAAGAATCTATTTTGAAAAAAAGTATATAAGGCCAATTTTGGCAGATAACATAAAAATTATCACTAGAATTCCTAAGTCCCTGTTCAGGGAGGTTTTTTGTTCAGTTCTTTTAAACTAAACAGTAAAAACCAGATATTGGATACTACAAAAGTGGTTTATGGTAGTTTTCAAAATTAAAATTATTAGTATAATTACAAGTGGTTTTAGATTATTGTACAACTTGAATAAGGTACAAATAACAACAAAAACAACAATAACCCAGTACTGTCCCAGGGCTAGTGTAGACATGCCCCCATCATGTAACTTTTTAAATTATAAACCAAAATACTGGCAACTCACAACCCGAATGAGGCCAAGTGAAAATTATTTAGGGACAACTTGTTGCTAAAAAACCATTATTTTGGGATTGAGGGGTAGTAGTTAAAAGTCATTACGACCAAGGTCAATTGTCTTAGCCCTGCAGTGTCTTTTCATGTGACAGATTACTAACATTACATAGATCATTGAAATCAAGCTTAATGAATGAAGACATTGCTCACACAGTCACACTAGTTTCTTAAGAGATGTTAAGTGTGACTAAGGGATAAGGAGTTTCTGAATTTCACAGTAGCAAAAAAGCATAGTTAATTGTACAGCATAAGCATGGTCTGGATGCCACACAGAAGGGATGGGTTTAATCCAAGAGATCACACTCAATATCTTAATCCAAACATAGTCTTCTAGATTAGCCATCCTGGATTCCTAGCCCCCATGCACTTATCCCATCAATCCCTCATGTACCCAAATATGCAACCAAATGACCCCTCAGAGTAAATGTCTTTTATTAAGCCAATTTGCATTTCTAAGTGATAACGTTGCACAGAACCAATAATCCATAGTTCTGTGATTTAGTCATTAACTCGTTGTACTGGTACTAGTATGGTAAATTGGTAATTGGTGGTTTTTTATAAAATTTAATCAAATTTCAAGTACCTACACCAGCAGACTTATTGATTCCCTTCCATTTATTTGGGCAGTTTTATTAAGTAACTGCAACTTCCATGCTTTATCATATGAATTTCAACCCCACAGAATTTATATCATATGCACAGTGATTGAATATGAGCATTATGAAGCTAAACATTACCAGAAAGTTTCAGAAGAGTGAAAGTTGTTGCTGCGATGAGGAAGACCATGGAAATCGCAACCCAAAAATGCTGAGCAAAATTATAAAATGCTTTTAGAACCTCCGCATGAAATGATAAGTATGAGTAATTAATCATGAAATTGAAAATTTGATCTTTTGATGACAACTCTGTGATGCATCATCACCACTCATCACTCACCACTTGGGATTTACTCCCTCCGTCCCGAAATAAACTTTGGTGTTTGACTTCAGTCAATTTAAGAAAAAATACTGTAGAGTAAAAAATGGGTGGTTGAAATTTAATTAGAGGAAAGAAAAATTTTGTGAGCCACATATTTCATTCCTAAATAGAAAAAAAGAAGAAGATCGAAGAATATATTTGGTCAACCGTAAAAGGAAAGTGCAAAGTTTATTTTGGAAAGGGAATATTACATAATAAACAACTACTTTTGAGTAGGGGCAAGGTCTGTGCACGCCCCCCCCCCCCCACACCCCCACACCCTACCTAGGTGGGATTCAACTCGTTATTGTAAACCGCTAATGTTGCACTGTAGGAGTGTAGGTTAATCAATATTACCAGTATCTAAATTTATTTTTCTACCACCTTTTAGGTAGGGGTAAGGCGTGTGTACCACCCCCACCTCCAAGACCCCACTTGTGAGACTCCATTGGGTAAGCTGTTGTAATGTAAGAATGATACTTCAAGAGCCAATCAAATTTTTGCATGGCTTCTGAAAACGAGTACTCACTTCATTTTTAATAAACTGTGCTCTTACCTCTTTTGGTTGTTCCTAAATAAACTTCACATTTCCTTCTAAGAAAATAAATATGTAGTCGATATTTTTTCTTTAATTTATAAATAAATCTCATGACAACTCCAATTTCTTAAACTTTGTGCTAAAAACAAAGGTGAAGTTTATTTAGGTATGGGAGGAGTAGATAATACCCAATTAATGTTTCACTGTAGGTTAGTGATTATTTTTAGTATCTACAGTTAATACTTCAAGAACCAATCATATTTTTAAAATAACAGTGAAAATAATACATGGCTTCTGAAACCTAGAACTCTTATTCCAACAAATAGTATTGTTGGTAATACTGTTTTCAGGATTACAAACAAGAGTTTTTTGGAGACAAAGGTTGTGTCCCAAATAGTACAACTCATAACTTACAGGAAGGGTTTCCCATATGGCCTCGTCAGTCACGTTTTCGTCATCTCCAGGCATTAAAGCCCTACACATTCTAAACAAGGGAAATGATAATGAGAGAAATTACAAAATAACCATCACTCAACCGGGAGACTTCTATGTTTCCTGGCTAAGATATACTCCATCCGTCCCAAAATAAACTCTGCACTTTCTTTTTTCATTTGTTCCAAAATAAACTTCACGTTTTTAACATTTTCTTTCGAGGAAAAATATATGTCGCTCACGTAATTTCTATCTTCTAAACAAATTTCAATTGCATACTTTTCCCTTCTCAACATTTCTCTTCAAACTCCGTGAAGTCAAATTCTGAAGTTCTTCTTGGGACAGGGAGGATTCCATATACCTAAGTTTGAATGTCATATACCCTAATCATTATGTTGAAAATATTTTACAAGTTTCATGATATAGCCCTAGTAATCAGAAGTCCATGTAGAAAGTGTGACTTACCTAACATTATCAACCAAAATGGCAGATTCAAAAACTAGCAACGGAAAGAAAACAATCTTCAAATTTACAACTGCAAGCCACAAGGTATAAATTAAATCAAGCCATTAGATGAAACAATCATTTTGAAACTCACACACACACACACACATGCAAGCACAATGTGATTGACTGATTTGGACAGGTGAAGCATAATATTTATAAATGAAATAATGTTATTATATTACTTCTAAAAAGATATGGAGTGGTAATAAAAATCTTGCAAATGCAAGATAGATACTTGAGACAAGATAAATAAATAGGTATGGTATGATAAACAAAGAAAAGTGAGACTACAGTTTATACAAATTTCACTAATAAACCGACAAGAGTAAAATGTCAGTTCAGTTAAAATAATAGAATGTGCAAAATCTTAAAATATAAAAATATGATTGTTTTCTCCTCATTACCATAACTGCTGTCGAGATGAACACATAGTAGTAGTTCAAAAGCAACAAGCAATGGAGTTGCCATGATAGCATGATGTGGTGCCCACTGTTCAAGGAATGTCTGGCTCATTACCCCAGCTCACCAAAATTGATTATAATAATGCAATACAATGTAAACTGCATAATTCACCATTCATATCTAAATAAGTGAGGCATCATACATTTCGACCATGGGGCATTGATGGAGCAGGTAAGGAGAATCTACCCCGTGCTACAACAACATGAAATAACCAAAGAGGGATGAAAACAGTCCTGCAATATCAAGCCAATACCAAACTATAAGCAATCCATGTAAAATTGGGAGACGTAATAGATTCACATGCTTTTTAGGTATCACCATCACATGGAACACATATATGCAGAAGAAAAATCAGCACCGTGTATATACGTTTGAAACAATGGTGGACCGCTATATGTCACTGCCATAGATCGTCATACACCACCATGGACCGCAATTATTCACAAATTTCTTTTGTTGGTTGGCACAAAGTCGGCACACCGCCCATTCCATTCCACCATGGCGACCAGCCGACCATTGAACAACACTGGGGTGTAACAAGGAGAGGGTGGTACTTCTTGTAAAGGTTGCGAAAGATTGGTTGATTATAATCTTTTTTCAACCAATACAACAACTCTTATAAGAAAACCTCATTTTCTTACCCATACTCAAGAAGCACTTTGCTTTGCAATCTTTGCCAATAGGCTGTAAAATATCACACTTTAGCACTTAACATATGCACTAACATCCACGAAAATACATATGCATTTCATTGCTTATTTTCCCCAGCAAAAATAAATGAAGTAAGTTGTGTTATTGCAAAGATAAACGAATGTATGGCAAATTGGCAATAGAGCGCAAGAAACCTTTACAACAATTCAAATTTTTATACTAGAGAATGTTTACTTGCAATGAAGGAAATGATTATATCTGATTTTATTGGGCCCTGTATATATTAACACCAAAACATTTACTGTTACATGCAAACATACCCTCACTCACTTGGAAAATTGGTATATTATGCCTACCCTAGTCCCTAGCAAGGAATTTAAGTTGATCCAGACATCTTGTAGCGAGGTGTAGAAATGGTGTGATGCCTAGTCAATAAACGTTATAACTCAAATTAAATATATGCAATAAGGATGGATCCAAGAGATGCCATGATCCCCTTCCATTCAGTTGAGCATATACTGCACTCTATGTTATTTTTGGCGCAAAAGTAGTTTCACATTGAAGCCACAAACGAGTAAATGTTTGAATACAACACCCATAAACCTATGCAGGTTTTGGTGCAAGGTAATTAAGTGTTAGCATTATGCACCAGATGATCTCAATGAATGCAACTCTTTTGTTTAAATGAAGCTTTTTTAGACAAGCCACTTAGGTGATTCGGAGACCCTTCAACCCAATAAAATAGTCTGCCAGGTAAAGCATCCTTTCCCAAATACAATTTTGAATGACTGGATTTCAACAGCAGCAACATTGTTGATGTAATGAGAACAGGAGTTTATAACCATCATTAAGAAATTGAGAATAAAAATAGAACTATTTCCCATTACCAACCACCAGAGTCAATATACCAAACACCTTAACACCATCTTGCTAGCTAAATTCATGTAAAAGACTACGTGTATATGAAATAAATTCATGAAAAGTAAAAAAAAATTAAAAAAAAAACTAAGATTCAAGAAAAACGAAATAGAATTCAGAAATGATTGAATTTGCTCCTCAAAAAAAATTCTAATTTCAGAGTAAAGGGAAAAAAACATCTCGAACGATCTGTGTCATTTTGGAGCTCAAGCTCAATGTTTGGGTTTGGAATTCGCATATGAAATTGTTCCTCAATTCGAGTTCAGAGTTCACTCGACTGAGAGATTTAACTCCTACTGCACATAAAACCTCGATACTCTACTGAATTCGCAGGGGGGGAAACAAAGGATCAAAGAAAGGATTGAACTGACCACCAGGGGTATGAAATGGCGCGATCGAGCTTGAGAACGAGAAGCAGGGTGAAGGAGAAGAGCAGTCCATGAGCCGCCACCGCTTGCAGAGACTTTAACACCCTCCTGCCGCTCATCACTCTCCGCCGCTCCTCCGCCATTCTCTCCAAACTGTACGGGGCCTGCGTATATATATTGCGTGCAGGTTTAATATTGGAGAGAGAGATAGGGACTTTTCTATCAGATGGTAAGAACTCTCCTACCTCTATATTTTGAGAAACTAACTAATGAATACTATATATTTTTAAAATATGCTCCGAAATACTCTATATTTTGAGAAACTAATTATCGGATACCGCACATTTTTAAAATATACATC